TAGGGGAGGAGGAGGATGACAATATAGGGGGAGGAGGAGGATGCCACTATCGGAGAGGAGGAGGATGCCAGTATAGGGGGAGGAGGAGAATGATCAAGGACACTTCAACACCTTAGGGTGGTCCAAAAATATTTAAAAGCTCAAGCATTTTTCTAATGCATATATTTGAGATAAGCAAAAGTGTTAGCTAAGGAAAACAAGGGGGAATATATGACATCTTCAATAAAATATCATCGAGTTTACATGTGTGTATTCACACCTCAGAACTAATTACTTGTGAATCTTCACTCCATCTCTCAAAGCATGAAACTCCTTTGCAGATGTGATTGGTTACAGATACTTGAAGCTGTAGCGTGATATGCTATTACTGTTTAAGCATAGCTCATCTTGAGGAAGATTGACTCTCGGAATAATTGCTCATCTACTACCCTGATGTAGTTGGGAATTTTAGGGTCCTCTACAAAGAGAAGAGAAATGCTGTGAAAATAAACAAAGAAAATTTAACATGTCCTCTGCGTAATTTGCATAACTTATTTTTATTCTCTGCTGAATACCAGAGTGGCAGGATAATTTACTGAAACATTAATTTATATTTTGCTTTCTGTATCCACCATTTTTTGTTAATCTGTGAAGATGGATGACAGAGTGAAGATAGGAATAACAATTCTTCCGGGGGTGGGGATGCGTGGTTATATATTTCTGGGGGAGAAGCAGCGGAAGGCTGGAAGGCTGCCTGATTCCCATAAGCAGGCAGAGCGGTACGGTGCCGCGGAGGATGCTGGGAGAGCGCGGGCTCGCCGGCACTCGTCGGCTGACCTGAGCCGGCTCAGCTGCTGGAGCGCTGCCCAGGCGAGGCTGGGTCCACTCCCCGGGATCTCCTGCCTGGGGAATACCTTGCTGTTCCAAACTGTGACAAGCATGTCGAGCCTTCATGAAACTGAGCTAGGACAATGTGTCTCTTGCAGTTCTCAATTTTGAACTCATGGGTGGATCTCATCAGGAATTTACTGTATAGTAAACATCGACTTTTATGGGGTATTACGGAAAATATAGTGGGTAGGAGGGGAGCTTTTTTCCCCCAAGGTAATATTTTAGCCTGTTCATAACTGCTCATCTAGTGGGGAACCAGATATTAAACTGATAATAACACACACGTGTAATTGCAGAGTGAGATGACGGGTAGTAAAGAATAATGATGCGTGCTACGTAATAACAAGAGAGAACGAATGTGGGCTTTGGGGGATTCCCTGGGAGAGAGGGCGACACATGCAGGGTGAAGGAGAAGGCACCGAGAGCAGCACAGAAGCGGGTATTCTGCGTTAAAGCGAAGGAGGAGAGCCTCGCGCCCTTGGAGAGCAGGTGAAAGGCTGGAGGCTCGCAGCGCACCGGCAGGAGCACACCTGAGGCCCCAGCGCTTCCTCGGAGTCTCACCTCACAATAGAAATACCAACAAGGAGGCTGCAGGTGCTGAAATGATAAGTTTGCCATAATGGGGGTTGTTTGATTCATTCTATTTTTATCATAATTAAATATTTTTCCTTTCAAAAATTCTGTGTGTGTGTGTGTGTGTGTGTGTGTGTGTGTGTGTGTGTGGCAGAACCAGGGATTGAACTCAGGCCGTTGAGCTTGCCAGGGAAGCGCTTATTCTACTGAGCCATCTCCCTGGCCCCTCCTTTTAAAAATTCTAAACAAATAAATAATGTAGGGGCCAGGGAGATGGCTCATTGGAATAAGCGTTTCCCTGGCAAGCACAAGGGTCTGAGTTCAATCCCCGGTTCTCCTAAATAAATAAATAAATAAATAAATAAATAAATAATGTAGAAGAGGTAGTAAAGACTTAAGGAAGATAAAGATCACATCCAAAGGATATCTTAGAGACGACAACTAAACTCATTAATTCCTAGAAATGATTTCCAGATTTTTCTTTAAGAGAGGGATCTAAGGTATTCCAACTGGTAAGATATAGCATCAGTAGTGTTGCTATCGTTTACAGGAAAACACTGTATTTCAGGGATCTCCAAATCCTCTTTTCGCTTCTTTTCCAGGTGAGCACGTGACTGTAGGAGGTACTATCAGCAACGGCAGCAAAACCACAGCCCAAGACAGGGCGTGCAGTGCTACCAAATATCTCCATAAGCTATTTCAGCCTTTTTCTTCCAATCTACTGGTACAACTTGGTTGGGTCTATTTGCCCTTCAGAAATCAATGAAGCTTTTGTTTGGGTTACAGTGAGATGCAAATATAAAAATGAAATAGAAAATAAATGTGTACATATTTCTTTTTTTTTTTCTTTTTTCTGTATTTAGGACAGGGTCTACAGGGTCTCACTACACAGATCGGACTCGTAGTGATTCTCCTGTTTTCAGCTTCCCAAGAGCTGGGATTACAGGCACGCGTCACCACATCCGATCTCAATCATTGTCTCAGTGCGTCTCGCGGGCGGAGTCTGCACAGCACGCCGGGGATCGAACCCAGGATGCTGTGCCCTGCCTAAGCAAGTGCTTTAGTCCTCTGAGCTACTAGGCCGGCCCTGGTATGTACATGTTTCAATATACAAAGCATGTTTTATAATGTCTACATAGAATATACCAAATATTTATAGATTAATGTAGTAAGTAAATGAGAAAATGATACATACAAAGAATCTGTTGTAGAGACTCATCACATGCTCTTTAGCAAACACAATTCTTAAGTTATCTTGTGAAGTATTTCCTGAGAAAAACACAGTACTGAGAACGTTTGACCACTAGATGGCGGGGTTGCAAAGACAGACTCGCAAGAGGGAGCACAAATTGTGAAAGATGGGGCGGCAGGATCATTCTTTCTCCACCTGCAATTTTCTTAGCAGCAAAGCTGCAGTAATGTTCCAAGAATAGAAATATTGGAGCTATGAATCAAAGAGAGGTGGAGTTGGGTGACTCTTGCGTTCTTTCCCTGCCGTGATACGATTTAGTAGCTTTCTAGCATTCTAGTACGTAGGCACAGAGTTAGAGAGAAATGATCAAGAAAAAAGAGCCAAATATTTTTTCTATTAGCAAAGATTACTAGAGTTTTGCTTAAAGGACAAAAGTTAAAAATGTACAACTCCCTTATTTGGGCTTTATTACGCTTCCACATCTTTGTAGAAGTAGAGACTTCTGCAGGTACTGTGCATTTTGATATTTTGGCTTTATCCTTTCCCAATGATTGGAAGAAAAAAATATCGCATCTGCTCAGACTCCAACTTGGTTGTCTGTCTGATTCCCCCAACGAGGCTTTGTGCATCTAAGTCTCCAGCTCGGCATCTCTTAGGATAAATTCACATATTTGCATAACTGATCTTTACTTTAATTTGTGAATCCACTAATTAGATAACATCATGATGTGTCAATTCTCCAATGAGCCTCAAGTGCACCACGTTTGCCTTAGAGAAATATCTGCCTCCACCGACACGAAGTTAAGCGACTCATCGTGGCAGAAGTCTGTACAAT